ATACAATTACAAATGAGGCCGAATGAGATCGCAAAATCCAAGGAGTACTTTTACGAAAAATTTTCTTTGCCTGGCGTTATTGCCTGTGTTGACGGTACACACGTCAAAATACTAAAGCCAGTTGTGGATGAATCAGTATTTTTAAACCGAAAAGGATACTACAGTTTGCATACAATGATAGTTCGTATTCTAACAATTTACTCGCTTCATCCTATACTAAAATCTTTGGCTTGTAGGCCTGCAACTACAATATGGAGATCTTAGCAATTGATAGCACACATCCCGGTTCTTGTCACGATTCCTTTATTTGGAAAAGCAGTGAAGCCAGAGAATATTTTTCAAGGCTAAATATACCAAATAGTTTTGTTTTGGCCGATTCAGCTTATACCCTGGAGAATTTCGTATTGACACCATACAGGTCCCCTCAAAACGGATCTACGCAACATATTTTTAACAAACGCCACGCAGCAGCTCGAAACATTGTGGAGCGCACCATTGGATTACTAAAAAGCCGATTTCGATGTTTACAAGGCACGTTGCAGTATAACCCCAGATTCGTTTGCAAATTAATAAACGTGTGTTGTGCTTTGCACAATATGTGTCGCAGACGAAATATACAGATCCCCGGTGAGAGCGAAAATTCACTTGAGCCAATAAACATTGAAACTCAGGATGAGGTAGATGCAGATGCAATGATTGCAGATGGCAATAGTTCTGCAATAAGAGACGCCATTGCGTCTTCATTGATTTAGGTTATTTATTTTTCAATCTGATATTATAAAATTTTGTAAAATTGTAAACGGATTCTGCGGTTTTATGCATATAACAAGTGCAGTTTCTAAAATAGAGCGTTAATTTTTTAATTTTGTTTGCAAACGGTCATGCTCATTTTATTCTACAAGAAATTCCCTTTAATATAGGTGTCATTGGAAAGGTATTTCCTCGCCCTTTTTTTTCTTTGCTAATAAACTCATTCAAAGCATGGAAGAGAAAGGTAAGATGAACGAACGTCATTCAAAGTTGAATTAAGATGTGCTGGTATTCGACAAAACAAGATGGGACACGAATGACGTTTTTTTGGCCAGAAATAAAAAGTGTGAAAGTACTTTTCTACTGAGATCCCATAAGTCTAAATCAGAACATTTTTGGCCCAGTTATTCAAGTTTTTCGTAAACCAATCTTTGAAAAAAGTAAAAAAACAGCATCAAAAATCTAATTTTTACGGTTCCGTTGAAAAGATCTTTAAATATTTTTATGCAGATTTTTTAAGCTTAATCTAATTTGTCATCTGAGGGGACTTTTTCCAAAAAGTTCTTTAAAAAACTAGTTTTATTCATAAAAAACTTCAGTTTTGGAGGTACTTTCAAATCGGTCCAGCTCGCTTAAATCTTAATATTTTTCCGAGGTATTTTGGTGTATGTCTTAGACTATAATATATTTTGTAATCCCGGCGGAAAAACCGCAACTTTTTTTGGTGATGCAGTCTAATATATACATATATATAGTCGCTCTGGAATTTCATTTATTTGTTTAAGAGATATATGAAATTTGATATTGCTCACATATGTTAAATACACATAAAAAACTATTGAAATTTGTTTTTTAGTATTTGAAGAACTTCCTCTTGAATTTCATTTTGCCTTTCAATATTCCTATTGAGCTGCTTCAAGTTCTCGGCCACACACTCCAAGACCTCATTTTGGGTTCTAAATCATCCGGCATCGTACGTCGCCTTCGTTTTGGCTTCGGGGGAGATTCACCCTCTTCTGCGTCTGGTACGCTAAAATTTTTTTCATTTTGGCTGCTTTACATCGCTGCATTGGCAGAAACCAAAGGTTTTGCTACCTTTCATTCCCTCTGCCATCGAATACAGACCACAAAACGAGCCATTTCTTCTTCCACTGCAGTTGATGGCAGCTGCGCAAAGGGACCACCACCTGTTGCAGTTGTTTCCTTTTTGTTATGTGCAAGCTTTTTGCGAATTGTACTTTTCCAATCAATCCCTACCTATACGAAATGAAAATTAGTAAACAAATACAACAATGCAAGTAATATACACTACTTTTTTCCATCCAGCTACATCTTTAATTGGCGGGCCAGCACTATTGAGAGAGGAGACAACATTCACCCATTTTGCGTCCGCAGCGACTTTGTCACCTTTTATGGGACCTTTTGCCAAATCTACATTTTCAGGCATATTTACAATTAATAAAAATCTGTTCTAGTTGGCTGTTCTTATGTTTGCTCCTGAAATAAAAACGTTTAGATGCATTAAACTTAAAAAAATTTACAATAAATTCAACAAAAGCTTGTACTACATTTTGCTGGCCATAACTTTGTATTTCTGCTAACAGCTGATTGACAAAAGTAAACAAGATGACAGGGTTACCTTGTATAAGTAAAACAATTTTTTCAAACCATAGAGTAGTGTTTGGTTTTATATTTTTGCATTACCAAATCAATTAAAAGTTTTGAATAATTGTACAAATTATTTATTATTATTTAGAAATGAAAAATGTAACTCCAAAAGATCTAAAAATAGCTTTGGCTTACTTAATTTGTTTACCATATTTGTTCCAAGGTATTGCACTTGTTTCTTAATAGAGATAGCAACCCTTTACGTTGGAAATTAGTTTCATTTCCATTTAATCATGTATAAATGTGAAAACCAAAACAGCTTTTTCTTAAATTCGATTTCATTGTATGGCCAAAAAGTACATTTAATTTTTAATTTGTTATTATGCATAAAAACTAAATTAAAAAGGAAAAAAAATAAAACGGAAACAATCTCAAGACATCAAATTTCTTAATACAAATGTTTTCCATCTATCATAATAATTAATGCACATTTTTGGATTACTTTTCGATTCGCTTGCATAAAAGCACTCGAATTGAAATCGAAAAATTTAGTCGATTTGTGAAGCTCACAACAGGTAGTCAAATCGAATTCGAAAAATTCACTCGAAATCGAAAACCGGAACAGGCCTGATACTTCCTCGCCTTGCTACACCTACGTGTCATGATTCAATTATTAAAGGTTTTGTAAGTAGCTTTTTTCTAAAATTTGGCACTCCCACCCACAGGGATGGTTTTTGGAAGCAGAAGAAAAAGGGGAAGAATTCAATCACACTTCCTAAAATGGGAGCTAAATTCTATAAAAACGTGTGGATAATAGTGAATGGTGGTATTTTAAAACAAAAACGAATTTGATTTAATTATTTAATTTAAACAAGCTTATTTACATCGAATATAACCCCCTATTGTTATTAAAAATAAATATTTCTATGTTTATACCAAACTTGCGTACGTCAGATGGCGCATAACTCGAGAATGGATGGTCCACTTTCAGCTTTTTTTTTGTTGTATTTGTTTGCCAGTTGATGGACATGAAGAAGCTATTTGTTTGCGGAAAATATGCAATATTTATTAAACAAAAAAAACGGCAAATAAAAAAATTTGGAGCTTACGTTTCTTTCGCGGTTATGGCTCGATTGTTTCGAATTCTTTGATGTCGCACTTTTTATGTTCTGGGGAAAATATTCAACACTGGCTTGCACAGCCGCAGTTGGCGATTGGTGCCGGACGAACTCAGAGCACGCAGCTACTGAACGACTGAGATAGGGAACGTGATCTACATCGTCAAATGAGAAGTGGCGTAATGGGGCTTTCGCACGAGGCGATTTTTCAGGCAACTTTTGCGTTCAACTCCCGCCGGGTTGCACGAAAAAAAATTTGAATGACTAAAAATATCAAAATATAAAAAAATATTAAAATATTCGCCATAAAAAGGCGTTTGTATTGTTCAACTTTGCATTCTACTTTCAGCTAATCGCTTTCAATAAAGTTGGTCGCCAGCCAACATTCGCCTCGTGCGTACACCTTTTAAGTGTGCAATTACATCGCGCCATTGACTAAACCCAGCTGTCGTGTGACGATTGGGCCTATGGATGCGGTTTGGCAATGTTATATTGCGTCAAAATCTCATTCGGAGACACCAGGATTGTGTCGTGGAGTACAATACCTAAATACCTTCGTTGGCTCATTGAACGCTTTACTTTACAGCGACTTGGCAGAATCAAGAGGTCTCCACGAATATCGACAAATACATTTCGGCATTTAAGGGAATTTCGTCTCTTAACATTGAATTTCTGTAGTCCAACGATTCTCACCCATTTTGTCTTGTTGGCGCCAGCGAATGCAGAACAAACATTTCTTCAAATTTAAAAAGTAAAAATTTCACTACTAACAATTTAAAAATGTTCTTAAAACTTGCAAAGAAATTTGGAAAAGAAATATCACTGTTTTTGTTTTTAGGAGTAGGGTGGGAGTGTCATTGATAAAATTAGAGCGAGAGAAAGTTTTTCTTACAAAACCTTTCATTATTGAATCATGCCTACGTGTGATGTTTTTATTCACTCTATCCCATTGCTTTTGAGCTTGCTTCTGTTGCTCTCATGCTAACGGGATTCCTAGTTACTGCAGCTGTTACTCTGTTGTTAGCAGAACCCTTTTATGCTAGCTACCCTACAGGTTACTCGGTGGTTACCTCAAATCGTTCTGCCGGTTACCTGTCCGTTAGCAAAGGGTTACCGTCTTGGTTACCTTTTTGTTACCTCGACCTGGTGCGTCGGTTACCCGAGCGGTCACCTTTTTGTTACTCTGTTCATTTCAAGCAGTTACCTTTTTTTTAATCCTTCGTAAATAAAAACCAAAATTTCATTTTAATTTAATAATATTTATTTATTTAATGTCTTGAATCAAATCAGAACAGACATTTAAAAAATTTGTACTTAACAACAATAGTTAGTATTAATAATAAAAATAGAAATAAAAATACAGTAGATAATTAATAATACAAGGCAATAATATTAAAACATGTGTGTTGAATTAATTTGAGTTATTACATAGAAAATAATTTTGTTATTTGCGTTTGAAATAAATGTTTGGTACCAGAGAGGTCCAAATCTATTATATTCGGAATATAATTAAACTCAGCCAACGTTTTAGTAAGTGGCGCATTAGCACTGTAGACTGTCTTACAAAAGCCAACACGAAACACCTTAGTAGGACGAAAATTTCAATTAATTAAATTTATAAAAAAAATATATCTCTACAGCTAAAACTTTTTCAAAAATTTTGTTGATCTTCAATGACGAAAACATTGATGAAATTCTTGGGTACTTTTTATTAAGTCGTAAGGTGGAAAAGATTTATCCGTACGCATTTGCCCAACCTATAAAAAGATAAAAAAATTAATTCACCTTTCTGTATTCACAATGAATTTACAAAATACTAACCTGGATTTATGATCACCCAACGAAGTCAGCCACAGGGACCAGGACCACAGTGTCTGACTCTAAACAAGCAGCCAGTTCAGTCAAGCATTGCACTATGAAAATAGATACCACATATTGTAATGCGCAAATGTAGTTTTAAAAAATGCATTCCACTGCTATTTTCTGCATTCCACTGCAGTTCTGATAGCATACATTGTTTGCAAGGAATTTTAATGTTAACAGAGCAGCAAATGTTAAAAAGTAACCACTTCCACGGGTTGCAGAACAATAAAATAGTAGTTGCAAAACTACAAAATAAAACAATACCAGTAATTGAAATACATTTTCAAAGTAATAAATTTACAAAGTAAGATTTACAGACATACATACATATATCGATGGTCACACATTGAAAGTCATAACTGACAATTTTTCCGAAATTGCCTTATTTACATAAAAAAAATTGCAAATTTTATTTTATTTTAAACGACGATATATGTGACCTGGTCTACGGAAAGGGGGCTTAGGTGTCAAAAAATCAATTTTCACTTTTTGGTTGATTCGGATGGAAGATGAGATGCTTTTTCACGTGGTGAAAAGCAGAAAATCCTAACTTACTTAGAAGTGTGCTAAAAATGTAGAGAAAGAAGAGTAAAAATACGACAAAATATAATTTATTGGTAATGAACAAAATACATTGAATTATAAGCTATAAAGACATGATTATACACTAGAAAAACGTATTATGGGCCAAAAATAATAATGCTGAGTAGTTTATGTATTTTTCTTTGTTGTCGTTTTCCTTGAGATCTTTTCATGATCATGCGAAATGCGAAGACGATAATCAACAGAAACAGTAAACGTCACTTCTTCAGTGTTACTTTTTTAAATGTTCCACACTAGCAACTTACACGATGAACTATAATAATATTCCGACCAACAACAACACTTACTGGACCAACAACAACACTTACTGGACGTCCGGCGCGGAGAACAATTAACGAGATAATGAGAAACTGACGAAACGAGTTGCTTACTTCTAACAGCTTTTTCACAGAAAACTAGTTTTCGCACGTAAGCTCCCTTTTCGTAGACCAGGTCACATATATATGTCCTTAAATCATACCCCGATGTGAATTAGCGTAAGTAGATTTTAGAAGTAATAAAAGCTATAACAGAAAATAGCAAATAAACTACTACTCCACTAATTCAAATGCATTTTAATTAATAAAAGTTGGAAAACATATTAAAAGTAGATATATATAGAAAAGTTACAACAAATTTCTATTTGTATTAAAAAAATATATTTACCTCGTTTTTCGCGCCTTTACGCTATAGCTATTCGCTGATGAAATCACCTGAATGGCACGCCAACACCTCAAATCAATCACAATTGTATTTCCTAGAAAAAAATCAAAAATAATGTTATATTAATAAATGTAAATAACGTTTTGAGAATATACATATATGTGGCGTTTTGGTAAAATAACTTATGTCTAGATAGGCCATTTTGTCTTATATATTTCATTGTGTAACCAGTAAATAAAGTTCCTGTTAATTTTTAAACCCTTTTTGCATTCTGTGTAACCGGTAAATTTTATTACCATCTCATAAGCTGGTTAGAAAGCATTGCCTCGTGAAATATGCTATACCAGAAGTTGCTTTATCAAAATGCCATAGATTTACATCGTCAACTTAATTCACAAATTCTTTAACCAAAAAATTTGTAATTTAAGAGGAAAAGCAAAAAACATTATAAAAAGAGTATCAAAAACAGGTAGGGCTTTTTAAAAAGTGGCATGTAACTGCTTTGTTTTTGGTACTAACACTTAAAAATTTTTAATGTGTATTTTAATACATCCCACCAAAATCTGTGAAAAACGTAGTTTCGAAAAAGTGTTGGTTAAGGCCTTTGTGAATTAAGGTAAAATATGTACATATGTGTTTTAGAGCGCGTGTGCGTGTGTTATGTACAAACATGTATACAATAATAATATTTACATGTTTTTAAGTAGTAAAATTTTATTTTTTATGTTAATCTAAAAATATAAATTAAATTAATTAAAAAGAAATGATTATAATTAGCATGTCGTAAGCATCGGAAAGTCGTAAAATATTTCACTGTAAAATAACGGTTACCAAGGTTGTAAAGGATTCGTAGAGTATAAACAGCTACTAATATATTATAGAAGTTTAAAAAAATTTGGCGTAGTTACACATCCTATAATTTCATTTTAACAGTTATTTTACATTGAAAATTTTAACGACTTTACGACATGGTCAATACCCATAATATTTTATTATATAATTCATCAAAAAAGAATAGTTGATGATACAAATTATAAATAATATATTTTATTATTAATAAATCTAGAATTAATAAATATATACATCTTAAAATATCGATATACATTTAAAACTAATACTAATTAAAAATTACAATTTATTTTATTATATAATAAATCTAAAATTAATAGCTGAAAATATATACACCTTGATGCGGCGGAATCCCTTCCAAATAAATGTCCAAATAAAACGCGGAGTATCTCGGGATTCAGTTCCTTTTATTTAGCTTACTTAAACTAATGAATCTAAATATTCAGGCAGGGTTTTCACTAATATAAAAAATTCGGGTACAACTAGCGAAAAGTTACTGAGCGGCGGCGAACGTGTAAGCGGGTCGAGTACATAACGAATTCTCCTAGACAAGAGTTTAATAAGTTCTTATAAAACTAGTTATAGTTAAGTGTTACGAACAAAGCAAAAAGAGGAATGTCAAATTACAATCGCTACGTTTGTGTAGACTTGTGCATTAACCCTTATGTTGTAATAATCATACCAAAACCTTACAATTAGCATAACTGAACCCAACATACCGCCGCCCTTGAACTAACCATGATAAGTTCAACATTTGAACTACAATTACAGTGTGGAAAATTAGGCAAATTAATTAACAATGCAAAAATACTAAAAGGTATGACTTAATGCCAATGTGCATACTTCACGTCTATGGATCTTCTTCGCAGAACTAGTCGCCTCTCGTCGGCAGAACGCAAAGCTTCACGATCGGTCTAACCAATTCGCCATTTGGCGTCTTCAAAGTGACCACTCGTATGAGTCCATCTGTACCGGGGTGGCATTTTATAACTCCCGCCAGCGTCTACTTTGTCGGCGGAGTAGGCTCGTTGAAAATTGCGACCACATCGCCTTCTTCGACGTTGCGTGAGCAACGAATCCACTTTGAGCGACGCTGTAAACTGAGAAGGTACTCGTCTCGCCATCGTCGCCAGAAATGCTGTCTTATGGCAGAGATCGCATGCCATTGCTGACGAAGACTGCCACAGAACCCTTGACCCTCAGGTTCTGGGAGTGATTTCAGCGGTTCACCGACAAGGACATGACCGGGAGTTGGGGCTTCTAGGTTATCAACAGATGTAGAGTTGTCACAGAGCGGGCGGGAGTTTACGCAAGCTTCCACTTCTGTCAGCAGCATGTTGAACGCTTCATAAGACAGAAGAGTTTCGCCCAGTACGCGTTTAAGATGATATTTTGTTCGCTTAATACCAGTTTCCCAGTAACCTTCCATGTGAGGCGCAGACGGGGGATTGAAACGCCACTCGATTTTGGAGTCCGCGAAAAATGAACGTAGTCTGGTATCGGCCATGCACGTTTGAAACGCACTCCGCAACTCCTTCTCGGCGCCAACAAAATTTGTGCCATTGTCGGACGTCATCAGCTTGCAATAACCTCTGCGATATATGAACCTCTTGAAAGCATTAAGAAACCCTAGCGTTGACAGGTCTCCAACAAATTCTAAATGCATCGCGCCAGTGCACATGCAGACAAATGAACAAATGTAGCCTTTAGTAGCCTTCGCCCCTCTTCCATGGGTGAATTTATACTTGTAGGGCCCAGCGAAATCGACAGCGGTGCGTGTAAAATAACGGGCATACGTAATTCGAGCTGCAGGCAAGTCTCCCATAGACTGTGTGGTGAGATTGCGGTTAAACAAGGTGCATTTCACGCATTTGTGGTAAATGCTGCGGATTAAGCTGCGGGCGGCAATAACCCAATATCGGCGTTGCAAGACTGTCTGCATGATGCGGGGCCCAGCGTGTAGTGTAAACTCGTGTATCTCACGGATAATCATCTTCGCAAGCGGAGAATTCTTTGGTAACGGTTTCTTCCAGAACTCGTCTGGACCCTTCCGAAATTCAGGACCAGTCCACCAAAGCTGTTGACGCAGTAGCTCGGACGGGATTACACCTCTCCAGCCCTCTGGAGGCAGGGTTTCTTGAACGTCAGCAACACGGTTGGCGACGAAGGTAATCCATCTGCTAGGTTGATCTTGTAGCCACGCCAACGTGATGGTGGAGGCTGTCCATGCATACAGCGGATAGCGGAGATCACCCCAACTGTGCAGAACGCGTCGTACTAGTTTGGCGGCTAGATGCGCAGCGCACAGCTCTAGTCGCGGCAATGTTGTTGTTGTTGTTGGTTTTTGATGAAATCAGCGCGACGGTGACACTGCCGTCGATTTGCCCGGTGCGTGCGTACATAACAGCGGCATGGGCGCGTTCAGATGCGTCAGCGAAAACATGCAGTTCTGTAAGCGACCCCGTCGTTCCTAGACCAAGCCAGCGACAAATCTTTAAATTTGAAATTACCTTCAGCTCCGATCGATGCTCCAACCATTTTGTTGCAATGGAGTCGGGAATAAGGTCATCCCAACCAACGTTATCGCGCTTAATCTCCTGGAACCACATCTTCGATCTTATCCTCGCTGGAGCAAGCAGTCCCAGCGAGTTGAAAAGCGTGCTGGCATCCGATAAAAAAGTTATTTTCGTTAAGGCCGCGGGCGGTTTTTTCATGCTAATTGTGAACGTCAAGAAATCGTCCTCGGTGTTCCACATTAATCCCAAAGCGTGAACATCTTTACCCTCGACCAGATAGTGCGATATAGTCTTCGACGCGTTCGAAATATATTCGCTAAACTCGGCACAGTTCGACGCCCACTTTCGGAGTTCAAAGCCACCTTGCTGGAGTATTCCAGATATGTTTCTTTGCAAAAGTATCAGCTCTGCTTTGGAAGCTGTACCAGTGAGAGGTCGTCCACGTAAAAGTCGTTGAGAATAACGAAAGCAGCTTTCTCAGAAACGTTCGACGAACATTTTGCGGTTTGTTGTAGCGATTTGACTGCAAGGTGGGACGCGGCTGCCACACCGTAGGTCACACGTAACATGCGATAATCCTGTATTGGCAAAGAGGGATCACGACGCCAGACAATTCATTGTAAATCTACATGTTTCGGCGATACGCAGAGTTGGCGGTACATTTTTGCGATGTCCGCGGTTACTGCGTAACGATGCATTCTGGAGCGCGTTAAAATCGAAAACAAATCTTGCTGCAATTGGGGCCATACAAATAAGGCGTAGTTTAACGAGTTTCCGGTGGCGGATTTAGCGGATGCATTGAACATAACCCTCAGCTTAGTCGTGAGGCTGGACTCCTTTACTACAGGATGGTGCGGCATATAAAACGTCTGGTTTGATGATTCTGGTGCAAGCTCCATATGTTTCATCTCGATGAGTTCCTTCATAACCTCATTGTAGCGCAGGCGTAAGTTTTCATCTCGATAATGTCTTCTCTTAAGCCTTAGTAGGTTTCGAACAGCATTATTTCGTGAAGCTCCCAAGGGAACGTCAGATTTTAGTGGCAGCTCCACTACAAATCGACCGTCCGATGCTCTGCGGTGCGTTGCTTCGAAACAGTCTTCACAATAACGCTCTTCATCAGTGATATGGGTCTTTTGTGGTACTTCTTCCAGCTCCCACAATCGGGTAAGCGCTCTATACAGCTGTACGTCGCAATTCAGCGACTGCAGATGAGACGGAGCAGTTTCGATTCCGTCCACGCTGCCAAACAGCGTCCAACCGAAAGCTGTTCGTTGAGCCATCGGCGTACCAGGTGGACCTTTACGGAACTCAGCGCAAAGAAACTGATCCAAGGCATCCATACCTATCAAGATGTCGATACGCCCAGGCCTCGTGAACTGCGGATCGGCAAGGAACAAGCTTCGCACATGCAGCAAAGCTGAAACTGCTAACGATTGCGTTGGCAATTCGCTCGTGATTTTTGGTAAAATCAATGCGTTGACATTGAAACATTGACCTGAACAAAAAGATGACAGGGAAAGTAGTACCTCACCTCTTGAACGACCTCCTTGCGACGACCCAATTCCAGTGATGAAAACTTCAGACACCTTTCGTGGTAGACCCAACGTTGAACTAGCGCCTCGGTTATGAAGGGGGTATGCGAGCTAGAATCGAACAACAAGCGAGCGGGTTGCCAGTAACCGGAACAATCGCGTACTTTGACGAAGGCGGTTGTCAATAGTACCGTTCTTGCTTTTGGTTGCGGCGGATTTGAATTGGAATTCAAACACGATGAAATGCATGTGGAAGCAATGTATGCGGAAGGATCACCAACAGGAAAAGCAGTTGCGTTTGGTTGCGGTACGGTGTTTGCGGTTAGGGAGGACGGCATAGCAGCCATATATGTAATACTCCTATATTGGCAGTAAGAGCTAGTACCGTCCGAAAACACTGCAGTAAAGATATATCAATAAACACGTACGAAAGAAAAGGAACACATACGTTTATAAATAAAGATGTACACGACACATTTACAAAAACGGCACTCAAGTACACAATACATTGACAAAAACAGTACTAGACTGTCTCGCTTTGATTTCGGAATGCTTACACATTGAGATGTTAGCTTACTACCAATATAGAAGTATTACATATATGATAGCAGCAGATACGTTGTTGACTAAATCAGCGGTTGTTGTGACCTTGGTTGTAGAAGCGGTATTGTGTAGCAACGTGTGATGGCGTTGATGGCAAACCCTGCATGCGGACGCGCTATTGCATTTCGCTTTGTAATGGCCTGAGCTGAGGCAGTTCGTACACACGCGCGAGTCTCTAACGAATTTTGATTTACCGTTTGCGTCGAAACTTCTCACAACTGTATATTTTATGCGGCCCATTACAATATGTACAACTCGAGTGAAAAACTTTTGTCTAGACATTTTGCCTTTCGGATGTACTGCTGTAGCTGACGAAGAAAGCATAGCCACAGAACGACACCTGACTTCTAAAAATGTGGACAATTGTTCGAACGTTGGGGGCTCATCACTCACGACAAGCCAATCGTCCCAAAAGTGCACTGGACGACCTAAAGCCTTAAGTTTACGTAGGTGCTGCTGAAACGCGTCAAGCACTCTTTTAATTGCGTCAGCAGTATCACTAGCCGCACTCTTAACATCGGCCATCGCTCTGAGATGCCCCTCAACAATCACACGCATGACTTTATGATTGCTAAGTCAAATTGCGTCAGTGCCATATTGGTGTGGGTGCCTAGTCATGTAGGTATTGGAGTTAACGAAAAAGCGGATCAGTTTGCAAAGGCTGCAGTTAGTGAGGGATTACCTATCAAAATGGATCTCACCTTGGGGGAGGCTGTATGTAAAATTCAAAGCGCTATTTGGACTGAGTGGGAAATGGAGTTTAGAGAAATTAGTTGTGTTATGTTTGAAAAGTGGCAGGATCGCCATGTTATGTTTGGTGTTT